CGGAGGTGATGGTGGCGAGGAGCCACTGCTCATCCGCCTATGTGGGGTGTCGCGGCCGTGTCGTGGACGTGTCCCGCGCCGGTGGAGGCGAGAGACGGCCGCCTCGGCAAGGCGGGCGCGCGGCTGATTGCGGTGCACCTGCGGGAAGGCTCCGAGCGACGCTTCGGAGGAGGGCCCCGAGACTGGCGTGGCCGGCTTGGGAGGGGGCGCGGGAGGGAGGAGAGGGGCGGAGGCCGAGGCCGAGGGAGTGGAGAAGAGAGTCGGGGAGGGAGAGAGATGGAGGGGAGGCGGGAGGGAGAGGGCATATACCTCGACGGCGCCCGCGTCGGAGATGGGGCGTCCGTACTGGACGCGCGCACCCGCCTCGCAGCAGAGGGAGCACAGGTCGGCATGCGGCATCACCGTCGCGCCTCGCAGCGTCACGGTGAGCCCCGCAAGCGCGCGGCCGCCTCCGCTCAGCCGTGAGAGTTGCGCGCCCGGGACGTGCGGGAGCATCCCCTCCTCGAAGGGGGCGGGGTCGACGGCGACGCCGCGATTCCGCGCGCACGCGGCGACGTACTCCTCGCCGACGATCCAGTGCCCCCGCGCGAGCGCCCGCAGCAGCTTGAGCGTTCGCCGCACGGGACGGCCGCCCGCGACGGTGACGGGCTCTCCGCGGACGAGCGTGGCGCGGACGCGGTCGTGGATGTGGGCGAAGCAGCGCTGCGTTGCCTCGTCGTCGACGCCGGTGAGGGAGAAAGACATCGGAGGGGAGAGGGAGATCGGCGAAGCGGCGGAGCGGCTGTTGACCGCTTGTCTCAAGAGAGCGGGAAGGAAAAAGAATTTAAACAAAACAACTCTCTCTCACAGCAGACAGGCTCGACACAGGTGCGAACTGGCGCGTGCTAGTACTATCACCGGCTCACCACCGGAGCCGCCTAAGCGACTCCGTTAAGAACGGCAATGCACTTAGCTCCGTGCACAATGCCGCTGTCCCCGCACGCTAGCTCGTTCACCGTCTGCCACGGGACTGGCGCGCACTGGCACTAACACAGTACACCACTGGAGCCGCCTAAGCGACTCCCGCGAGGACGGCGAGGCACTTAGCTCCGTGCACTCGACCAGACAGACCGTATGCAATTTCCTGCGGCCAGGTTGCTACTCCGAGACGTCGGATAAGCACCAACGGCCAATGCACGAGGGGGTCGGTGGAGACTTGTTCACACCGGTATGCCTTGCCCTTTTGGTGCTTCTAAGTAGACGGCTATGCTCTTAGTAGACTGTGGATTGTTGTGAGTGAGTATTCTTGATACGAAACCACGACGACACACACCAGTCGACTCGCATCGGTTGCCTCCATGAACGGCGGAGCTATTCTCGCGTCCACACCACACCTGGCTCCAACGTGGACACGCCCATAGCTGGGGACACTACTAGGTCACGCATGGCATCAGAAGTTTTTACACACACACACACACACACACACACACACACACACACACACACACACACACACACACACACACACACACACTGTGGATTGTTCACAGTCATGTGTGGAATTTCGGCGAACGCCGAAATTCCTATTTCCGCGGCGTCTTTTAGGCCGACGGATTTTATGAGTAAAACAGTGGCTGTCACACCGACAAAAGGTTTTCCTCCAGCTTGTGCCCGCCCGCCTCTCTGCGCACCACTCCAGACACGGACTCTCGCCCTGGCCGCGCGCCGCCCTTTTGCCTCGCGAGATACAGCGCACGTCTGCCGGAGCTCTCCGCCCGACGGTCGCCCGCGCTGACCTTGACCCTGCTGCTCCTGCCTCTGCTCCGCAGGTGTGGGTCGACGGCGCGGAGCAGCGGCCGCCCGCCCGCGTCCCCCGCCCCCGCCCGCCCGCCGCCGCCACGCCGCTGCATGCGCGCCGCCGCCCCGATGGCTGCGGCCACGGCCGGTCGAGCAGTCCCTCGCGCCGCGCCCCCTCGCATCCTGCCTCGCCAGCCACCCCCTCACCCTACCACCGCGCCTCATCTGTTGTGCTCAGGCGACGACCCAACTCCTCCGCGGCCTCAGAGTCATGCGATATGTCCTGATCGCCGCACTCGCACTTTTGCCAGTGGCGCTGGGCGACGGGCCGGCATGCGACGACTTCAACGCCCGGCATGCGAGCGGCGAGCGGCCAAACGTTCCACTCCCCGCAACGCCCGACGAGGCTACCAACGATGATGTTTGCCGCGTGGCCAGAATTCTTGGTGGCCTCCCCACGGAGGAGCAGCTCAGGATGGTGCTCGCGGCGCCCGTTGTGCCCGACGTGACGGCGCTCCCGACCAAGACCGAGCGCGGGCCACTGTTTGCACCGTCCAACCCTGCGCCCGGCCCGATGGTGCCCGACGTGGTCGAAGATCCGAACTGGCTCATCGCCACGTCCGGCTTCTGCTCGAGCCTCAACGTCGTCATGAACGAGCGCGACGTCGAGGCGAGCGAGACCGAGGGCGACATGGCCGGGCATTTTGTGGCCGACATCTCCTTCAACTACTACCCGCAAACGGCGGTCAAGTTCACCGACTTTCCGTACCACAAGGCGAACGCCATCGAGGGCGACCAGAACGAGGCGGACGCGCTAGTGTCGCCCGCGTGGGACCACAAGAATATCGCGCTGCTCGAGCCGACGTCCACGTGCAGCGCCGACGAGCAGACCAGTCAGGCGTGGGGCATCTCCGTCTTCAAGGTGGAGGAGCACCGGTCCGCGCCTGCAGCGAGAATGAGACGGCATGGGAGGGCCACCCGTGCGTGCACTACACCGGCTACGTCTCGGCGGAGACGTCCAACTTTGTCAACGTGAACGAGGCTCGGTTCCCCCCGCCGGGGCCCGTGGTCCTCCTCGCCACTTCGCGGCTGAGGTTCGTTGGCTGGCCACGCCTTAGACGCCTAACCCTCGGGCGCAATGGGCCCGCGACAGAATGTGCTGGCGCGGGCGGCGCCTGGATGACAGGGATGGGCCAGGCGATGCCACGCGGCTGAAGAGATGGTATCGGTGCATCTTCGTGCGCAGTCTGTGCTCGTAAGGCCGCCCAAGCGGCCGACACTGCTGCATTCACGTGGTGCAACGCCTGCTCAACATTCAACCTGTATGATTTGAAGTGCGTCATTTGCACGAAGCGCACCTTCTTGATGCCCATGTACTGTGCGAGGTTATCGTAATGCCAATCGTTCGCAGATGCGAACTCGACGATGGTTGCTCTCGGCGGGAGGTAGAGGAGGTATACGAAGGCTGCGTGAGTCCCAACGAGTACATCGGTTCGCGTGACGAGCTTGAGCTGTCGCGCAACCGGAAGCTCCGCAAAGTTGGCGATGGCCAGTTCGCAACTAGGCACATGCATGGTGTCCGCAGTCACGTTGGTGCGGCCAGCGCCTTCCCAAGCCGTTTCACAAGCGCTGGTGAGCTTTCGCACAAAGCTGTCGCGGTTGGTCATGCGTCTGAATCGGGAGGTGCGCTGCGAGCCGATGGGAACGCGGTCGGCGAAGGTCACCCTCGGCACCTTTGGTGGTTGGAACGCCAAGCCGAAGCTCGCCCGCACGAATCGTGTGAACCCAATGAGCCAGGACGACGTCCCGCACGGTGCCCTTCGCCGGTCGCGAGAGCCGTACGGAACATCGAAATTGTGGCGGGGCTGAACGGCGAATACGAGCCGCCGAAAGCAGGCGGGGCGAGCGCGCGCCGCCGGCAAACGGGAGATGCCGTGCACGGGAGCGAAGACGCGACGCAGGAAATCGTAGAGGTGGCCCTCAACCTCAGCATCATGCAGCAACAAGCCGGTGTCGCAAGGGTCTAGGTTGCGCGCCAGGTACGTCGTCCACAGGGCGAGGAAAGATTCGTGCGCGTGGAAAGGGTTGAAGCTATTGCCGCGATGAAAGGAGACGACTGGATGGCTGATCACGTCCGCGTCGTCGCCGCATGCCTCGTGTGCGTCCTCATCCACATGAAGCGAGCTTGAGTACTCCAAGTTGCCGCGAGCAGTGAGTGACCCATTGCAGAGCTCGTATGCGTTTGGGTCGCGGCAGCCATGATGATCTGGCCCTTCTCTCAGCACGAACGGACCGAACGACGTACCACTTCCGATGGCCCGAACATGCGCATGCCTCCAAGGTGCCACCTTGCTCAGCTCGATCAAGTTGCGCCCCCATCTGCACGCGGCCCAGAACGCAGGAGGCGTCTCGTTGCCGAGTGGTCGAAATGGGTCGAGGCGAAGGTTGCGACCGTCGCACATCACGGCAGGATTGTCAGCGACGCGCCCAGGAAGCTGGCTTTGACAAGCGAGCGTCGAGCCACCATGCGCGCTACTGCTGCAGTACTCGGCAAAGCGCGCGGTGAAGTGCCGCGGAGGCCCTTCGCGGACGCCAAACTGGAGAGGGCATTTGCCTTCGGTTTCGAAGGTTGACGCAAACGCGCGGGGCGTCGGAACTCGCTGCTCGCATCGGGCTCGCGCCGCAGCCATTTCGTCGTCTGAGCTGAGTAAACTTTGTAGGAGCGAGCATCCGGCCACGTCTATTGGCGCGGGCAGGAGCAGCTGCATCGCGTTCCGCTGGTGCACCAAGCACGACCACGAGGCGAGCACTTAGGTCTTTTTTAGCATGAGGTAAGGTAAGGTAAGGTAAACTTCTCCACACACACGAGGTGGTGGGGCAAGGGGGGGCAACCCTCGCGTCTCTACGTCTAACGACAGGAGCCCCACGGCATTCAAAGTGCAAGGCCCGTTGCGCGTGGGTGAGCGGTGTGTGTGTGTGTGTGTGTGTGTGTGTCTCACGTCACTGCATCCTCTGCCGGTTCCTCCCGTCGCCTCTTCTTTGTTCGAATGTTTTTCAATCCATCCTTCACGAAGCCCTCCCATGTAGCCAGCGTTCTTTGCGAATGTCTCGAAATGGCCAGCAGGCGCTGTCTGCTCGCGGCCTGTGCGGGCCGCTCGTCCTCCTCGCCCTTCTTTCGTCCTCCCGTCCCTCCCCTCCACCATGGGCTCCTCGGCACTTCTTTCTCCATCCGCCTCGCCCTGCCTTTTCGTATCGTGCCGTTCGCCTTCCAACTTTTAGCATGTGATGAGCGGCTAAGCGGTCGGGCAGCGCCCCGCCGCGCCCCCATCCCTGGCATTGACGATTGAGGTGTATGCTGCCATGTCCTCCTGTGTCAGCCTATGTGTGGCCTGACAGCCTTCCCCAGGCGGTGGGGCCACCACCCAGCCCGAGCGCACAGCACATTGACATTCAAAACCGGACCCGACACCGAGCGAGACGTACCGCACCAACCGCTTCTTATGTATTCATTTACGGACCCTGCGGGACGCGGCCTCACGTGTCCGCGCGCGTCGTAACCAAGCCGTTTACCCCGACGTCACTCG